AATGTGTACTGTCTGTCTGGAAGAAGAAACCATGTGACAAAGAAAGGGCTAATCAACAGAATTAATAATACCTCATATCTATCAGGCAGTTCAGACCTTTCAAAGCACTTTCTCCATCTGTTACCCAATTTTATTCTTCGGAGCCATCCTGTAAGCTAAGTAGGGTATCTATTATCTTCCTCTCTCACGGATCCTCAAAGAACTTCGGGACGGAGAGAATGAAAGACTGGCTTGAGGTCACACAGCTAATTAATAGCAGTACGACTAAATCCCAGGTGTCCTGCATTGTAAAGTGGACCGTGAGAATAGAGGGTAGAAGGACAATTTTGCAGGAAATGTTTCTTAGTGGAGATGGGTGATTCTGTCTCGGGCGTCCATCTAGCACGGACCTGGTAGTCCGCCTGCCCACAGCACTGAATCAGCAGCCCAGTGGGGTCTTGCTCCCTCCTGTGAGGAAGGACAGAGCTCCCAGGGTCTTGTAAGAACACAGGTGTTAAGGGCATTGAGCCTCAGGGTACTGTTAGCATGATCCGACTCTCGCTGCTTCTATTCAACATCTGGTAATGAAACCAAGAAAGGAGGTAGGAAAGAAGATTCGCAAACCGGCTTCGGCTGGGATTTCTAGAGGAAATGCTTGTTTTCAGCTTTTCCTGCAACCTTTGCATCTCTGTCCTTCTCCAGTAGCTCCCGTTCAGCAAACCGGCAGCTCCAGGCAAGTGAAATGTGGTAAGGGGCATGGTGATGTGTGGTCTGCTTACAACCCTGTACAAAAGCTGCAGAGGAAACAGAGTCTCCGGGGAGTCCCTGGGAGCAAGACCGCCATTGTCTGAGGGGGGAGGGGGTGGGAATTTTTTCTCCTCTTTCGTCTCCTATTTGAATTTTCTGCAAGAAGTTATATTTCTTATGTAATTTTTAATGGTATTTTTGTTAAACTGGAAGCAAAGGGTCATTCTGGCTGCAGAGCAGGATGGTTGTTGGTAAGGAGAGAAGTGGAACAACGGATCTCTGTGGGGCGAGACGAGGCGCTGGCTCCCCAGGCTCCCTCAGCAACCCTGCCCAGGCCCTGGAGGAGGAGTATTTCGATTTCACTTACCATCCAGACGTTACCACTTTCTCCCACCTTTTGCTGGCCCCTGGGGCCAGAGGTCCCTCAGCACCCTGCCGCAACCCCCCATTTCACCAGGTGCTCCTAAGCTGGAGCCCCCAGAAGGTCTAACCCCACTCTGGGCCCCACTTAGCAGTCTGGTCCTGGGACTGGGCAGGAAAGCTCTCTGTCCTGTTCTTCCAGTCCTGCTCCAGAGGGCCGAGGAGAGAGACTAGCAAATCAACAGTAGCCAACCATGCACAGGGCCCTGTTGGCGCCCTTGCCTTGCTGACTCAGTGGCTGCGCCTGACTTTCGGAGTCCCAGCTGAAAACCGAAGTGGGGGTAGGGGGCAGCACCCGTGAGAAATCAGTACCCTCAGCTGCACGGGCCCTTCCCCTGCTGTGCGGCGTGCTTAGCCTCAGATGCCTGATGGGCTGCGCTTCCTGTGGGTCTGGTAGCCGGCAGCAGGTGCAGGCCAGCGTTCAGACAGGTGGTGGTGGGAGCCGGCAGGACGTTTCCTCTTGTTAGGCTGAGTGTTTCGCACTGTTTCTGAGAGTCCAGTGAGTGACAATGAAACCACTGCTGAGAAGTAAAACCCAGGAAGAAGAAGTGTGTGGAGGGGCAGTAAATAAGATGGTAAGCCCTATAGGGCCTATTTGGGTTAGAAGAATTCTCCAGAAGAAGAGCCTCCACCCTCTTGAAGTGTTTGAACCTTCGAAGGCTGAGGTGCATTCGCTGACTTTTGAGCCCCATTTGGGGAGTCTTGGGGGCCTGCAAGTTTGAGAATGGACTATTCTCCCCACTCCATAAGGGGGTCTGTGGCTGCTCTTTATCTCCGGGGAAGATGTCCACTGGCTTGGAACTTACTACTCTGCAAATGAGAAAGAGTCATGGTCAAGTTCACCATTGTTCCATCCCAAGAACCCTTCTGGACTTCCTCTTGGTAGTCAGTGTAAGCTCTCCCTTGTGAACAGAGCCTATTAGAAAGGAAAAGAGTGGTCAGCCGTGCAGTTTCTTTCCCATGGAAGAAGATCTATAGCTGACTATTTTCTTTTCCTTTGACCTCTTTAAAAAGCAGCTGGAGTTGCAACAGCTCTACCGAAACTTTATACGGCCTTTGCTTCAAGGACTTTGAAACGAGCTTTGTTGATTTTTCCTTTTCCTGTCAACCTCTGTTCTGTTTCCCTGGTGTTTCATATTCACTGTCTGGATGATTTTAAATACAGTAGCTCTCGGTCTAGAAGGCCTTTTGACTTTCCCTGTGGCCCGAACCGTAGGTACATATTCTTTGGGAAGCGAAGTAAACAGGATTTAGAGCAGAAGCCGCCTTGCTTTGTGGTGGGCGGAAGGAGAGCCTGCCCGAGGCCCCGTGGTGCTGCAATCTCTGTGGGCAAACAAGGCTTCTGCCTGGTGTGGAAACGTCCGTGTCCCCGCCAGGCTGATCTCCATGTGAGTCAGGCACTGTCCAGGATTGGAGTGTCTGTTTGTTATCCAAAGGGTAGAAAGGGAAATCAAACATTCTTCGGATCATTATAAGCCCTGTGCAAACACAGCCCATGGACAAAGCCTGCTGGCTTTCCCTGGCTGCCCGCCTTCAGCAGTGAGAGCAGGGCTGAGCTGAGTGTGGAGGAATGTGTGCTGTGGCGAGTTTGCTTTCTTGGGCCAAAACTGTACAGGTGTCATGGGACACAATTCACCGGGCAGAAGTTGAAAGTTGAATCAGAGCAGCCACTGGGAGCCCTCAGCAAATGTCACAGGCTCAGAGCTATGAAGGAACCTGATAAAGCAACTGCATCCAGCCACAGTCAAATGATCGTGCAGTGTGACTGCCTTTGTGCCTGGGGATTAACTAGCCATAAATGCTGGGATCTAGACCCGGCTTCCTGCATCTGATGCAATCAAAGCAAAAGCCTGAGCTCAGAATAGAGTATCTTCATCTGACTCCCTTGAGCAACGCAGACATAACACGGCAGCTGCTGAATATTAACGAGGGCTTGGTTTCTGCACCCGAAAATATTTTGATCAGTTAAACCCGGACCCTCCTGTTTTTCTCGTTTCCGGTTCACTGTGTCCCATTTGTTCTGTCTCCTAGAGCTGTGCTGTCCAGTGTAGCAGCCACACGTGGCTATCGAGCCCTAGAAATGGGCCTCGTTCTGAATTGTGCTAAGTGCAAAAAACGCTTCCAGTTTTGAGAATGTAGTGCCAAAAAAGCAAACCATCTCAATAATGTTTATATTAATTACATGTTGAAATATGGTGGACCTATTGGACTCAACTAAATATACTATTAAAATGAATTTCAGTTGTTTCCTTTCACTCCCTTTAATGTGGCTGCTAGAAATGGGAAATCACGGCGCTTGTTTGCATTGGACAGCGCTGGGCGGGCACTGAAGGAAGTGTAGGTTTAGAGCGCCATCTGCTGGTCCGCCGAAAGCAGACGCTGATGTCAACAAGCGCTAAGTGAATGAGTCCCAGACACGGACACTTTGTTAGCCAAGCAACGCGCAAACTTCCTTTTCTGAAACAGGACCAGAACCGAACCCCGAAGTCCCTGCATCACCAACAAGAGTCTTGGAGAGGGCAGTGCTGAAGATCCAGGCCTGTGCACTTGACAGAATATAAGGAGGACACAGATCCATCCCTCCAGAGACGCATTTCCTCTCCTTGGATAATGCTTATTCGTCTTTGTCAAGAGTCTGGAAGTTGGAATCTTGCTGCTGACAGTATCTGCATCAGTTATCACCGCAGCGTAACAAATGACCCCCAGACTCCGCGGCTTAACTCGGTTAAGACCTTTCTGTGGGGCAGGAACTCAGGACTGGCCCATCTGAGCACAGCCGGCTTGGGATACCTCATGAGGCTGAAGTCAGGGGCTGGGCCTTGCATCCATGGAGGTTTGACGGGGCCTGCAGAGTCCACGTCAGGGTGGTTCGAGCACTGACTGGCCAGCTAATGCTGGTTGTTGGCCTCAGGTCTCAGTTGTTCTCCACACGGGCCTGGGGCTGCTTGGGAGTCCTGTAGGCTGGCAGCTGCTTTCCTCCAGAGAGAGCAGCCTGAGAAGCCCAAGAGGAAGCTGCAGCCCCCTTTATGACCCAGCCTCAAGGCACATGCTGTGACTTCTACCGCATGGTGGTGATCCAGGGGCAGGAATGTGCATCCTGCCTCCGGACAAGGAAATGTCAATATCACGTTAGAAAAGAAAATGTGAGATGGGATGACCATTGTAGTTTTGGAAAACACAGTCTGCCCAAGTGTCCAAGTTTGTATAGTCCTATGCAGTTCAGAAGCCTGCCCCATTCTGCAGATGAGGAGACTGAGGCCCGGAGAAGTAAGGTAACCAGCCTGAGGTCTGGTGAACGGACTAAAGCCCACATCCAACTCTTAGTCCACCCCGATGTAGACTTCCTGAGTTCTGCCGCTGCATCTCGTTATGCCGTGTCACTGAAAATCACGCTGGTTTTTTCGTCTTTCCAGCCTCTTCGAGGTGTGTTGTGCTCTCCTCATTCAAGTGTTTCAGACAATTCCTTAGATGATGTCTGTCTGTAAATTGTTCTCTTGCTGAGTTGAGGATCTACAGGAGTGGGTTTCAACTAACTATATAGCCTTTCTTACAAAATTCTAACAGTGAAAAAGTCCACATTTTCCACTATCTCCCATGCTATTTGCTCCAGAAATCCCAGGAGTGATAACCACATTATAATTTGTGTGTTCACATTCTGTTTGACTCTCTAAATATGACATCTGATTTGTATCTAAGACAAGATTTAATCACCACTTGCTTTCAGTAGCTTCCATCCTACCTGGTCATCTTAAAAATGAGGTTTTACTTTTTTTTTTTTTTTTAAGATGTTCTGCCCACTGGAATTCACACTAAAATCCAACCACCATAATCATATTCTGCTGTTTTGGTTTCAGGTCAAACTTCCGTTTCCTGTAGATCAAATCACAGATCTTCCGAGGAACGATTTCCAGATGATGATTAAGATGCACAAGCTAACCTCAGAACAGTTAGAGTTCATTCACGACGTCCGGCGGCGCAGCAAGAACCGCATCGCGGCCCAGCGCTGCCGCAAGAGGAAACTGGACTGTATTCAGAATTTAGAATGTGAAATCCGCAAATTGGTGAGTTGACCTCATTGTTGCTGTCAGCAACCTGGAGGGAGCAGGACTCGTGCAAGGCTGTGGTGGTAAAGGCGAAAGACATGCAGAGAAGGGTCACCATTCAGGGAGTTTTTGAGTTTATTTTGAGACAAGTTTCTCCGCAAAAGTAAGAGCCTTCTCTCTGCAGTTATGTGTGCCAGCATTGTATACGTACCCTTCAGCCTCCCTGGGTATAGAGGGAGTTACTAGTAGCTAACATTTATTGCATACATGTGTGGACTGGGTGTTATTCTCAGATATCTTTATAAATGATCGCCTTTAATCCCCACATCCACCCTGTGACTTAGGTTCTGTTTTCCCTCCATTTACAGAGGAGGAAGCGCGTGCAGAGAGATTTACCAGCTCCCCACTACGTGGCAGAGCTTGAATGCAAACCCAGATCTTGTATGTTCACCACCGATTTCTCCTGCCTCCCACAGGAGAACGTAGAATCCAGATAGGACACCTGAAGTCCCTCGCAGCCCCAGGGTCCTTGATTGCAATTCTGCCTCCAAGTGGCTCGCAACTCTTCCCTGGGCCTGAGAGTATTTTGTCTCAGGGAACAAGCCCCCATCTCCCAGTCTTCCCTCACTGGGACCTCAGTTCCCCCTTCCCCTTGGTGAGCAAGCTTAAGCTACAGGAAGTAAATCCAGGGCCCCTCGGGCTCCTGACTTAGCTTTGAAGGCAACCAGTGCAGTCTCATGCAGCTCGACCTTTCTGCTAGCCAAATACTGGAAACATCTTAGATGCTGGGTCCATTGTCAGGCTGAAGAAGAGAGAGGCCAGTGATGTGCTTATGATCTAAGCTCAGGTCCTCGGACTATACATGGTGATGCTTTGCGTCATGGTAGGCCACCATCCTGATGAGACCCTAAGAGCAAGATAAAGCATTTGAAAAATATGAGTAGGGGCACCTGGGTGTCTCGGTGGGTTAAGCCTGTCTTCGGCTCAGGTCATGATCTCAGGGTCCTCGGATCAGGCCCTGCATTGCATCGGCCTCTCTGCTCAGCAGGGATCCTGCTTCCCTCCCCCCCACTCTCACCCCCCGCCTGCCTCACTGCCTACTTGTGATCTCTGTCTGTCAAATAAATAAATCTTTTAAAAAGAAAAGAGAAGTATGAGGGGCGCCTGGGTGGCTCAGTGGGTTAAGCCTCTGCCTTCGGCTCGGGTCATGATCTCAGGGTCCTGGGATCGAGCCCCGCTTCGGGCTCTCTGCTCAGCAGTGAGCCTGCTTCCTCCTCTCTCTCTGCCTGCCTCTCTGCCTGCTTGTGATCTCTCTCTCTCTCTCTCCCTCTGTGTCAAATAAACAAATAAAATCTTTAAAAAAAAAGAGAGAGAGAGAAGTATGAGTAAATATTACCTGTTTTCAAGGTAGTCTTGGACCTCAGGGTCTTTTTTCCTTTTAATTAACTCCCATCCATCAGGGGAAACCTGCTCCTCACAGTGGCTCCGCTTGCCGGCAAAATAAAGCCCAAGCTTCCCAGCAAGACATCTGTGCTTGCTTGTGCAAGTTAGTCAGTAATTACCTCCAGCATCACCTTCCACTCCTGTCCTCCAACTTGACCCCAATGTCCAGCACTTTGCACTTCCTGCCACCCGCTGTTTCTGCTTCTGTCTGTGCCTCTGCTGTCTCCCCTCTACTTTGGACAGTCTTCAAACATTTTCTTTTCTGACTTCATCCTTCATCCTTTAAGAATCAAGTTACTGTCCCCTCTTGAGGAAATCCCTTTCCTGAGTCTCCGGTGAGGCTGAGCACCTACCCCGGGAGCCCCGATCTGACCTCTGGCTTTGTGGTTATCATAGCAGACTCGCCTCATCTAAGTGTGTGTCTGTCTCCCCAAGCCTTTGGCCCAGATGGTAGATTCCTCACAACAAAGACAGTGACCGGATCATCTCTCAGTCTCACCAGTGCAGCCCCAGGGGGCCTCTCCGGAAATGTCTTTTGCCTTGAAATGTATTTGAAATTGTGACTGGGTTGGGGGATTACAAATCCCTTCTGTCCAAATTTTTCTTTAATGTTGCTTTAACAGCAACAACCGTTTGCATGTAAGCGACGTAAGGAAGCAAGACACTGTGGCTGGTGAATGTGGGTCTTCTAAAGCGTGCTGGGCTTCTGTGGGGACCCAGCAAGGCTGAGCCTGAGGAGTACAAGCACCGGGGCGTTGAACACACGCCCGGGGTCATTCGGCCCTGCGGCCCTCTCCAGGAAGTAGAACGATTCTTGTCACCCATGTTTAAGGAATGCCTGATTTTATAATTAGAATTCTTTCAGTAAAACTTTGCAATATGGATAGTGAAGTCTAGTAACAATAAACAACAAATAATAGTCTAAAGCACACACCAGGCAGATATCTAAAGGACTTTGCTGATACTGTTCAGCTGAAAAACGCAGAGGGCATCTCCTACATCTCCAGCCCCCAGTTTTGGGAACCCCTTCGATAACAGTCCGCGTTTCCCCACTGACTGACAGACTCGTGTGCTCATCAGTGTCCAACTGTCTTTACTTAGAGCTTCACTCCTATAACCAGGGCCTGCGTTTCTAACTACCTTTCCTGTGGAGAGCCAAAACACTGTCCCCACGGCAGTTCATTCTCCTCTCCCTAAGAGTGGCCCTGGACCCTTGGGACCTCAGTAGGGGGTCAGTGGCAGAATGGGGACTGAAATGACCCTCCTGGGCCTGGGTGGTGTGGCCTCCCAGTTGCAGGCCCCCAGGTTGCGCGGCCACAAACGGTAAGAGTTTTTTCACGACGAGACCTCCCGGCTGCGCTTCGTTTCTCATCCACCGCCCTCTGGCCGCGGTGCGGTGCCCGCTTACCTGGTCCGGGTGCCGGGCTGGCGCTGGCAGGCGGGGACAGACCCGTCCGGTCGGCCCCGCGCGTCTCCAGCGCATGCGCAGTCCTCCCCACGCCCACGGTGCCTGCGACACGCCACTCAGCTTTTGCAAACTTGCATAATGTATTTCTCTCAACTTGCACTTGTACATCTGTTTATTTTTCATTTTTAAAACATGTTTTCTTGATAAATTTATAAATATTTTAGCAGGTGCCCTTTCCCGGTGTAAATCTCTGTCTCCGACACACACGCCCACGCTGCCTGCCAGATTGCGTTCGTGAGCAGCACGCGCAGCAACCGTGTCGGAGCCCCCACCTCCTGTGTCTGCTTCTCTCTCCTCCTTTCGCTCCCCTCCCCCCACCCCGCCCAGCTCCGTTCTCCCCTCCCCTCTGGGGGTGATGTCCGGTTGCCTCTTCTCTTTGCGTGCACCTCGTGCGCCTCCACATCTTCGCTCCCCGCGGAGAGAGCTGGGGTGACACCTCCAGCAGCCTCCCCTCAGCAGCGAAACTCGTCTCTCTGACGAGATGGTGGATTTTAGGGACATAAGAGCTTATGTGCGATTTTCTTGGAGGACGACATCTCGGAACCCCAGGCTCGTGGGCTAGGGCTCGTCTCCGCGCCTCTGTCGGCCCCTCGCGTGTGCAGGGAGAGCCCGAACCCCAGACGCGCTGCGCAGCCCCCTGTCCCCGAGAGGACCCTCTGTGTTCCGTCTGTCTGTCCGCCGCAGAGGCCGGAAAGCCTGCTGAGGTTTGAGTGAACCATGGGAAATTGTCCACAGCTGCTCTTTGTTGTTGTGATTTGTGTTTATTTGTTTTCAATAGACTTCTTTTTAGAGAAGTTTTTGGTTCACAGCAAAACTGAATGTCCCTGCCCCTTGCCCCTACACACTCACCTCCTCCCCCGTTATCGACACCTCCCACCTGACTGGGGGGAGCCTGAATCCTCACAGGGTAATCACCGGAGTCCAAAATTTGTGTCAGGGCTCACTCTTGGTGTGGTATGGTGTGCGGATTTGGACAATGCATCCACAGCGACTGTACAATGAGTAATTTCACTCCCCTAAACGTGCTCTGTGCTCCACCTGTCCATCCCTCTCCCCCACCCCCATCCCTGGCAACCACCGGTCTTCCCCCTGCCCCCACCCCATTGCCTTTTCCCAAAATGTCATAAAGTTGGAATCGGCCAATTTCTGACTTTCAAAAATGGCAGCCTAATACACTGGGGGAGATTTTTCAACAACAAAGTTTGGGACTGAGAGTTTTCTAACTGGTGCTCTACAAACCCTCAATTCCAGGAAACCGGAGCCTGGAGGCCCCGCAGTCCTCTGGTTGGTGGGAATGTTGCTGGTCGCTTGCCAGACCCCAGAGAGGGATGGAGAGCTGCCCCGGGGGAGGCGTCAGGCACATGGCACACCTGGATAGGCTACTCAGATAGGAAACTCGTGTCCAGGCTCCTTGAATACACGTCTTGTAGGTTCCTAGATCCCAGCCTCGTCCGTCATTCATGAGTGACCCTGTCATACCAAATGCAGGAATGGAAGCTGGAAATCCCCCAGAAACCAGGGCTTCTGTCTTCCCGTTCAGGTTTCATGGGGCCTTTTTTTTTTTTTTTCCTTCCTCTGTTGTCCAGGTGTGTGAGAAAGAGAAGCTGTTGTCAGAGAGGAACCAACTGAAAGCCTGCATGGGGGAGCTGCTGGACAACTTCTCCTGCCTTTCCCAGGAAGTCTGCCGCGACATCCAGAGCCCTGAGCAGATCCAGGCCCTGCACCGGTACTGCCCCGTCCTCAGACCCATGGGCCTCCCTACAGCCTCCAGTATTAACCCCGCACCTCTGGGCGTCGAGCAGAACCTGGCCGCCTCGCAGTGCGCCGTGGGGGAAGGCGCGCCCTGCTGCTTGGAGCCCGCGGCCGCTCCGCCCGGGCCTCCCTGGGCCTCCGGCGGCGGCGCCCCGGAGAACTGTACTTCCAGGAGGCCGGAGGGCGCTGAGCCGGGAACCTTCTCAGAGAGGGCGCCTGCTCTGGAATCCAGGAGCCAGACGGTGACCGTGGACTTCTGCCAGGAGATGACTGATAAGTGTACGACCGACGAGCAGCCCAGGAAAGAGTACACCTAGTGACCCGGCCCGCCTCCCAGCCTTCCCACCTCGCCCACCTGGGTGTTCTACGGTCAGCCTGCGGTGCTCTTCATCTGTTGTCTGGAAGAACCAAGAAGGAATTTGGTGCACACTACAGCGTTCTTAGCAGCAATACTGTTTCTAAGTATTCCCTCCTCTCTTCACGCGGGAGTGATACACAGTTCCCTTCACAATGGTGCTACCCCTTGCCCAGGCAAGGAAAGACGGTGGTGGCGACACTGCCTGTCTGTGGGTTAATTTCAGTCTCAACAGGGATAGACTATAACACCTCTAGGACCCAACCACGGATTTTTTTTCTCAGTGGCCCATGTCACAAACCCTATCTCAGGAATTTCTTCTGAATGTTCAATTTTTTTCATTGAAGACAGCTTCTATACACATCAAAGTTTTATAGCTAGACTGTACATATTATATATAATATATATATAAAATATATATATATCCATATGCAAAAGTCCTGCATGCCTCAATTTTCTCATCCTAAAACTGGAAACTTCATTTCTCATTTATCAACAGGTTCCAACATTCCTCTTCTTTTGTCTCCAATGCTAGAACTAGTTTGGTAACTGTTAACATGGTCATTTTTCTTGCTTCACAGTTCAATTTCAATTTGTACTTATTTATGGAACAGAATTCAATGTTGGAAGTTTTGTTTTTTTTTTTCCGAGGTTTTATTTCCGACCCTTTTTCTGTTGTTTGGTTTGCTTTGGGCACCGTCGGCCGGTGTCATCTGAGTGTCGTGGTTTGTTTTGTTGTTTTTTTTTTTTCCTTGCAGATACTGTACAGTCATGGTCAACTTCGCCACTTGCACTGAGTTTTGGGTCAAACCTATTTTCTTAAATGAAGTTGTTATTACTTCAGTATAACTCAAGTATACTGTATATTCTTTGCTTTTAGTTGAAAAGTAAGACATTTTAGCTCATTAAAAAGCACTCAGGTGATAATTATGTAGGAAAAATAATCTTGCCAAATAATGAATTCATCCTAGGATGTGTAGACAATAATCTGCTTGAATATTTTTATATTTCACCTCCTCCCCACCTTTCCCGGAAGCAAAGTTTAGATGCAGAGAGTTCAGAGTTGATGCTGAATGTTCAGACTCCTAAGTGGGGAGAGAGTTTGGACGTCCACTTGAAAGTGCATCCAAACAGCAGGAACCCATGATTTTGTACCAGAACTCAGCAGGCATTGGCTCCTAAAAATCAACTTAGAACTATTTTCTCACCCAGCGGGCGAGTCCCATTCATTTCAACCCATCCTTGGGCCTCTGCCTGCTCTTGGAAGGGCAGCGCAGGAGGAACTTCTTGGAAGGATTTGGCTGATCAGCCACCCCACTCCCGCCCCGCCCCCCTTCCCCTGCCCAGGCCCCTTGCCCAGCTGGGTTCCCAGGACCTCTCCCTTGAGTGGGTTTGAATCACAGCAGCTGGTGTTCTGCGTGGAAGCGGCATCCTGGGTTAATGCAGCTCACCCAGAGTAGGAGAGAGTGGGGGCACATGTGAGCCTGGGCTCTGTCCCTGACACAAGTGAAAGCATTTCTTTCTCCCTCCCTTCTCCACATGCTTTGAGTTGAATTCTGGGGTTTTTCTGCTCGTCTCTTGTCTGAAGGCAGATTTCATTCTGAGGCTTTGGACACGATATGGCCAAGGAGCCCTCCCTGCCCTGCCCCTTCCCCCACCACACACACACACACCTACCCTCACCTGATAATTTTCTTCTCTTGCTGCAAAACTGGTTGGCTTGCAACCCATAGAGAGCAGCTTTCCTTGGCTTTGGGGGCGTGCTGGCCCCCAGCCACGTTTACAGGAAGATGTGCCCAGACCCTGCCCCCAGCCTAAAAGGAGGAGGAGTCCCTCTTTCCCTCCCTCCGGTGGGCCCTCCAGCCTGGCTGAGGGAAGAGTCCCGAAAGGTTTGATGTGGGGTTGGGGTGGTGGGCAGTGGGGAGTACATGGTTGACTTTGTTTCTTTATTTGTGCCATTGTTTGGACAATATTAAAGCTGCATGTAAAAGGGGAAATTAGTATATGATGTAGGCGAAAAGTGAAATCATAGTAACATATGTTTTAGTATTATTAACTTTTTTCTGTACAAATATTAGCGCTAAATGTTTAAATATGTATGAATGCCAGAAATTTGTTGGTTCATGCGGTAGGATAAAAAAAAAAAAAGGCTTTTCTTTTCAAATAGTTCCGCTTTTAAAACCTGCCTCTGGGTTTCTGTTTCTCCTCATGTGCGTGTGTATGTGCGTGTGCTAGTCTGAGACAGATTCTGAGGCGGCTCAGAATTGGAGCTGCCTTTTTTTTGGCGGTTGTTGGAATTTCTTGGCCTAGTAGAACAGTTCTGTGCTTCACAGTGGAGTTTGCCTTTGTGGAAAACTGGTGACAGCTGGAATTTAAATTCAATGTGAATCACGTGAGGCACCACAGGTCTGTGTTATGGTGGTGGAGTCAGCCAACAGTATTTTGTTTTTTAACTCTCTTGTTGCCTTTTTTAAGTGACCTCCTCTTCTTTTGGAAAAAAAGAATGTTTCCTGCTCGTCTCATCACCGGGTCCAAACCAGCCTGTTGGTGTGATCTACCCTGGTGACAGGTCATCTTGACCACATTCCGTAGGTCTCCCCCTCCCCCCCAGTCTGTTTGGGCTGCGTGCATGCGCTGCAGCCAAGTCCGGGTGGGGGAAGGGGTCTCCTGATTTCCCTCCACCCTCTCTGCCCACATTCTCCGGCCACCACCTCCCTTCCCCCCGCCCAGCTGCTTTTCTCTCTCTTCAGCAACCAAACTCCTGCTATGGGAACTGGTTAAAAACACTGCTTGAAAAACTCTTTCCATTTCTTAGAGATTTTTTTTTTTAACGACTTATGATTTTGTTCACTATGTACCATAAACAGTGACTGGCTTTGTGCAATTGTCTGTGTGACCTGTCTTGTCTCCTTCTACCCTGAACCACGTGTTCCTAAGAATTGTTTGCGGGTTGATTCAAAGGGAGGACTAGCTGGGGACCAGAATCCAAACTGCCTCAAGTGGAGTTTTAAAAAACCAGCCTGTCTCCTTAACGTGGGATCCCTTGGTGCAGCCTCTGTCTTTTATGAAAAGGAAAAGCGAGTTAAGAACAGGGAGTAGTGTTTGCACAGCACGGTGACATGTAGTTGTGCTCTGAAGGGTCTTTCCTTAAAAAAATAAGGAAAGCACCTTGGACTGCTTAGGAAGATCCTTGCCATGGCCTAGTTGGGTCTCCAAATAGGTGGGCATGAACTGTTGGGGCAGGGACCACGGCGGAGGCCCCATGGCTTGTTACCATGTGCCTGGATCTAGTCCTTCCTTGGATCTGCCTGTGTCCTACTTGTGTGTCCAGAAGACCTCACTTCATTCAGGTTGGTCAGGCTTTGGGCAGGTGAGTGCTTTGCTGTATGTGTTTGTTTCTCTGCGTTATCTGGGGGTGCCTTGAATAAAATCAGACTTCATTACGTACTGATTCTGGAACAAAACTGTTGCAAAAACAAAACAGAGCTGGCAAACTGACTAGGCCATCCTGCTATTTTGATTCCGGGTTCCCTCACAATGACTCAGGCGTCAGAGGTGATGCTGCAGTATAAGACATTATTTTGTATATTGTACAAGTAATTTATTAACTGTCTTTCTAAAAGTATGCTGCTTTTAAGATGCACTATGACTTTGGATTTAATCCTTGTATTGCTTTCCCAAGGAAGTAAAAAAAAAAAAAAAAAAAAAGGCTAGCGATTAGAATGCCAACTGCCACTTCTCCTTAAAAAGGAGGCCAGGGACCAGCTCTAGGATTTGCACCAGCGAACTGCTAGAAATCAGGTGGCCACAATGTGAAGTTTGAAGGTATTATCAAGAGATCTAGGGGTGCCTGGCTGGCTCAGCCAGTAAAGCACGTGACTCGATATCAGGGTTGTAAGTTTGAGCCCCACATAGAGATGACTTAAAATCTTCATTTAAAAAAAAAAAAAAGGCCTAAACCTACACTTTCTTTCTGAATACTTTATGATTGCCTTTAAAGAAGAAGAAACAAAGGTGTATAAACTATAAGCCTTTTAAGAAATCCCAGAGTCCTGTCCCTACCTGCTGCTCCACATCCTGTGGAGCACAACCCTCTCAAAGTGGGTAGAGCCTGCAAAGCTACTTGGCTACAAAAGACCTACCTGGCTGGATCTCCACATTCTACCCCATTGAAACTAGCAGCTGCTTAATCAATAAATGACTTTAACCTGCTCCCTTATGGCTTCTAGTTGGGGAGGAGTCGCAGACCAGGAAGGGAGCAGGCATCAAGTTTTGTCTTCAAAATACTATAAATAGACTGAGGGGCAGAATCTTTTTTTTTTTTTCCTTTAAGAATAAAACTGTTCACTCAATCATAAGTTAGTATTTCTTTCCCAGATTGAGGATCTTGTTGTAGGCGCAGTTACTGGCGAGTCAGTCCACAGCGCAGTGCCCTGCGTGGAGTCGGTGTGCGTGGAGACAGTCTGTATGTTCTCAGTACCGCCTGAGCCATCTCCTGACCCAGGCATCAAAGACTGATGCTGCAGCACAGACGATATTTGTACACAGAGAGTGGGTGCAAATAGTATTTGTACATAGAAAGGACCTATTGTGGCAGATTGAAGATAAATTATTCAACCGACGGTGCAAAAACATTTCTTGCAAAGAAAAGGAAGTGTATAGTATTTTCCTACACTCCACCCTGGGAGATAATATTTATATCAGATGAGTATCAGTGCATTTTAATTGTACTATGAACCTGAGGCTGCCGTTCTGTCGGTCGCAGAGGCCCACTTTGTCGCTTTGATTTCATGTTGTGACGTGGTGCATGCATCTCGCTATCAAGCGATGGATAAACAACTCTTTCACTTCATTCCAGTTTATTGACCTCAGCTAAAACAGTGGCCCTCCTTAGAAGCAGAAGGGCACCAAGACCATTCATTCAGTGCCAAGTGTTCCTGGGGGGTTGATTGGACACGTATGTGAGGAAAGAGGGAAGGGACTTGGACAAAGAGGGGCTTTCCTACCGATGATGCTAAGTCTCCTACCAAAATACGTCTGCAGGCAGAGGGGATGACCTCCACAGGGTCCTAATGGTGCATTTGGCGTGTGTGAATGCTGGGATGCCCATTCACGCTCGGACCTAAAAGACCTGCCACTTCTAGCGAGTGACCAGGAAGATTCCAAATGCACTTGGGAGCTCCAGGTGCTGGTCAGACACAGTGAGCCGTTCGAGGCAAGCACCACCTTTTGCTCGTGAGGCCAGAAGGGCCTGGGAGAATTTGTTCCAGAACCAGTCTGATGCAAGTGCACCTCTAATATATGCCTTACAAACTCCAGAGGCCATATTCAAAACAGGGTCTTCTCAGTGTATGCAAGGGGCCGCAGCCCCTCTTCTCTTCCTCCCCAGGTCGAACAATACGGACAGTTTCACACATATCTACCTGTATAACCCTCTGTACCTCTCATAACTGCTCAACGACTGTAACAGGTTACATCAGGTGTTTTTCTACATACTTTTTACACAGATTCTATGCGATTAATGTAACTTAATGCATCATTTTATTGTACTAGTTCTTAGGCTTGTCTTTTTTTTTCTAAGTGATTGTGGTTTTTGTTGTGGTTTTTAATTGTAAAAATGAAATGGCTGTTGATGCTTATTCTCTGTAACTAAGAATTTTTACCATTTGGGGGAAAACAAAACATTGCTATGAACTAATGAATTGAAACTTCATTTACTCATTGTAAATACACTATTGTGCAAAAAAAAAAATTTTCACTCAATTGAATTGCTAGTGTTAACTGAATTTTGTCTAGACACCATTTCTGTTGATGAAATAAAGACATATCATTATGCATTGTAAGCTGGTTTTCCCTGCCTCTGATCCCTGTGTTACAGATCACAGGGTTGGAGGCCTTAGGAAATCTCTTCTCCAAAAGAAGCTATGTGTCTTCCTCTAGCTTGGACCCTTACCTGCTACCTGATTAATCTGATTAGAGACGTAAAAAATGTGATAATGTTAATGTGACTTTTAAGTTTAAAAAAATTCCCAGTGCCTGTGAGAGCAGATAAAAAGGCATTAAACGTAATTTCCTGGCTTCAATGTTGTGCGATAGCTATGCTAAATGTCACCGTTGAGGGCAGCTGGGTGAAGGGTATTGTTTCATACAAGAACATGTGAATCTACAATTATCTCAACATAATAGGTCTAATTTAAAACAGAAAGCTGGGGCGCCTGGCTGGCTCAGTCCGTGGAGTGTGTGACTCTTGATAGAGGTTGTGAGTTTGAGCTCCATGTTGGGAGTAGAGGGAATGAATAAATGAATGAATGAATGAGTAAAACAGAAAAGTAAAACTAACCAGAGAGAAAGGGGCATTAAACCAACACCAAGATACAATGATGAGTAGGGCAAGGAGTTTAGAATTGTGGTTAAGGGAGTAAATACATTAAACTAGAAAATTATATTTGATCATTTGAGTCCTGGATTTTTATGTAAAGGGAAAGCAAGGTATTGAAGGGCAGGCAGGCTACATGACCAAGAGCTAACACTGGACTGGTATGGTCTGGCTAAGCTGTCAAAGAGGCCATAAATAATACGTTCTCATGATATCTGAAGAGCTGCTGAGATCTGAGCTACAGGAAGTGCCTGGCCTCACCCCATATGCCAGATAAGAAAACTAAAAGGTACTGAATTCCACTGCCTGGGCATCCTACTGAACCAAGGAGGGCTTCCAGGGAGCATATAATGGGTTTAGCAACTGTTAGCGAAACAATACAGTTGTAACATTGTAGGTGTGAGAGGTCAAATACAGTCCTTTGCCTGAAGATATGAAGTTATTCAGTCATTCTGAAAAAGCAGGTGGGTCTTAGTCCCAAATTTTTCTACTAAGAAAACCTGGTCATTTAGAGGTATCTGGGTGACACCATCGGTTGGACGTCTGACTCTTGATTTCAGCCGGGTTGGGGGATCAAGCCCAGTATTGGGCTCTGTGCTCAGCTTCAAGACTGCTCAGGTTTCTCTCTCCCTCTGCTCCTCTCCCCTCGTCATGCCTGCATGCTCACGTGGTTTCTCAAATAAATAAATAAATAAATCTTTTAAAAAGAAAGAGGGGCCCCTGGGTGGCTCAGTTGTTAAGCATCTGCCTTCGGCTCAGGTCATGATCCCAGGGTCCTGGGATGGAGAGCCCCACATTGGGCTCCCTGCTCGGAGGGAAGCCTGCTTCTCCCTCTCCCGCTCCCTCTGCTTGTGTTTCCTCTCTCGCTGTGTCTCTCTTCCTGTCAAAAAAAAAAAAAAAGAGGAAAAAAAAATCTTAAAAAAACAGGATAAAAAGAGAAGGAGAAAGGAGGGAGCAAGGGAGGGAAGGAAGGAAGGAGAGTAGGAAGGACAGAAAGGAGGGAAGGAGAAAGTGGAAGGGAAGGGAGGGAAGGAAAGGAAAGAAAGGAACAAGAGAAACCTGACGGTCATTCGCTACTTTGACCTTCACACTTGCACTTGTAGTGGGAGTAACAATCATAGTTTGAAACAGAATAAAGTCACCATCTGCAGAAGAGGGGCATTCAAACACTGTCCTGCCCCAGATGGGCAGCAGCCATCCTCTTTCCTTCGAATGTGCACCTTCAGAGGGATCTGTATCTACTTCCAGGGTACAGTGAGGACTCCCAGATTGGTTTCCCCTACACCAGTCCCTGCCAACAGTTTTGTTGTATCTATTTGGGAATAACTAAGCTGTTGTTTCAAACAGTTCTAGAATTTTTCACTCTTCTCCAACCCATCACCCTCCCCACTCAAGTAGGATGCACTGGCAAGACTGTATTCGATGTTTAACACCCGCCTTGTGATAGGACTCCGAGTGGAATGGGTTTCCAATTGTCCCCATTGAGCACCTTCGCTTTCCAGAGAGATGGGAAAAGCTACTCATCCCACATCCCATTATGTAAGTGTCTTTCCTTTCTTTGATTCGAGAACATGATACCTTCTATCCTCATACCTCTGGCTCCTACAGATCCCAGCATACACCTGCCGCTGGCCTGCTCAGTCAGCCAGGAGGAGGCATGACTGGTTCTTCATGGCTGGGGTTTACTCTTCCCCCTTGAAGACAAGTGCCTCCCTGACGCAGTGATCCTCACCCTAAAGCAACAGATGGAATCCGTCAGAGGCACGCCAGCATATACTGGAAGCATCACATTTTACATTCACCCTTTAACATGTTTTTTAACTTCTCTTTGTGCTGTAGAGTTGATGACCCTGTCAAGGCTTCTGAGGACAAAGGAATTTTAAAGTAAAGGGGAAAAAAATGCTGCCATACAGGCTTCTGAAAGAGTCTCTCATAATAACCCTATTGACAGGCCGTGACAGAACACCTGCGAATAAGGAACAGACGGGAGAGTTGAAAGCGAAAGGTCATATATTGTCTTTGGCATCCATACAGAAACAAACATTCATTCAACCAACACTGTGCTGCGAGCTGGGCATCCAAGACTTAAAATGCATGACCCTTATCCTTATAGCTTCCACAGGCTAGTTGGACAGGCAGCTGTGCAAATTGTTGCCCCGGGGCTGCGGATTGTCACGGCCAGGGAGCGCATGGCTTCAACGCTTCCTGGCAGGAGCCCGAGCCTTGGAGCAGCGGGATCCAGGTTTGTATTCAGCTGTAGAACAGACACTTCAGCCATGCGACCTTTAGCTGTGGGGCACGTTCCTCAGTCTCTTTGAGCCTCCTCTGATCTATAAAGTGGGGATCAACAATAATCTTCCACAGCTGTACAAGGTAGAGCTGATGCATCTTAAGCACCTGGAATCTGGTGTGCCCCTTGGTGGTACCCACTTGGACTTGGCCCCAGCATCATTTTCATCCACCTGGTCTTCACTGGCTCTTCTACCAACTCACTGTGGAACAGCTCATGCCTCTTCATATCTCCACACCTCATTGCCACCTCTGCAAAGTATGGGGACAGAGAAGACTCAGTAGCCATTTGGGCTAGAAGCACAGCCCAGCCCCATCCAATGCTGGGCTCCCTTCCACAGCATCCCAGGCAGTCCCCAGTGTATCGGGGTCCTCCAGAGAGACGGAACCAATAGGAGATCAATCAATCGATTGATCAATCCACCTATCTGTTCAATGGTCCCAACTGCTGCTGTGCCACTGCCGAGCAGGGGTGCTCTCTGCAGCGAGCAGGGCACTAAGTCCCGCCAGGCTGCTAGGTTGGGGAAGGATAGCCATTTCTCAAGCCTTCTCCCCTCAGAGTGGCAGCAGCTCTTACCCCGAGACTTTCTCTCCTGGTGCACACTTCCTCCCTGCTTCCTCCTGCCTGACATAGCACTGGTGGTGAGGCCAGGTAGAGCAGTGAGAGGTCCATCCATCCAGCCCATCAGAGGAGGGTCTCCTGTGCAGGTGGGCCCAGCTGGGGGCACCCTGTACACACCCACTGCCCAGTGGGTACCTCTGTGGAGGGAATGGTTCCCACAGTTCTCACAGTTTGAACTAACAAAAGTGCAACTTTTCTCCCACAGATGCCGGCTGCTCCTCAGTCCATTTTTCTGGCCCCACGCATGAATTATTTTTTCATAATAGATGAAAGTTCTAGAAGCATGTTCTGAAAGAAATACGAAACAAGAGAAACAAAACAAAATAGACTGAAAGGGCTTGCAAAAGTCAGTCCTGTCCACCCACCTGGGACTCTGTGTATGTCACAAATACCAGGGGTCCAATCAAAACCCGCTGAGGACAATTCTCCCTAGGTTGACCCAGAGATGAATGACCATGGAAGAGGTTTTATTCCCTGAAAGATATGAAACCCATCTGCCATCTACTTATCCTCCAGTTTTTGTTTTTGTCCAAAATCCAGGTCTAAAACCGTCAGTCAACCTTTTCCAAAGCTCCATCTTTGTTCCTTCTACAATTAGCCAGATTTTGGGTTATTTTGTAATGTGGAAGAGAAGAGGGATCCAAATGTGGAATATTCCATTTTGTAATAATCTATCCTTGATCCTAAAAATCTTCTAAACTTAGGCCGCCTTGTGCAGAGAGAGCTAGAAGCAGTAATGAGGTATAGAAAGAGCTCGAATTGAATCAGACAGGCTTGGAATAAAATTCCAGCTCATTCACTCAACCAATAAATATTAACTTATGTCCCTGCTATGCCCAAGAACTGTGCTTCACCACATCCCAACTGTATGACTTCGGACAAGTGATCCATTTCTTCTCTTCTATTTCTTCTGCTCAGCGGGGAGCCTGCTTCCCCCTCTCTCTCTGTCTGCCTTTCTGCCTACTTGTGATCTCTCTCTCAATCAAATAAATAAATAAATTCTTTAAAAAAAAAAATCCCCCTCACCTAAACACTACCGTCTCTCCCTCAATTCCCTGCCAATACGAAGACTCCTCTCACATGGAAGGAGGTATAAGAAAGGGAAAATGATTAAAACTGTCTTGCTGACTTCACAAATGTTGGTAAAAGCAGTAACCCCTGGCAAGTTTACTCTAAAATACTGAATCTCCACCCTGGCTGCACATTGTAATCACCAGGGGAGTTTAAAAAGTACCAATCCCAGGGGCACCTAGGTGGTTCAGTCGGTTGAGCGGTGACTCAGTTTCAGCTCAGCTCAGGATCTCAGCATCTCAGAGTTGTGGGATCGAGCAGCACATCAGGCTCCTTGCTGTCAGCATGGAACCTGCTGGAGATTCTCTCTCTTCCATTCCTTCTGCTCCTCCCAACCCTTGTCTCTCTCTCTCTCTAATAAATAAATCTAAAAAAAAAAAAATACTAATCCCAGGGGCACCTAGCTGGGTCAGTCAGAGCATGTGACTCCTGACCTTGGGTTTATGAGTTTGAGCCCCACATTATGGGTAGAATTTACTTAAATATCCTGATGTGCATCCCACCCCCTGAGATTCTGGTTTGGTTGGAATTGGATGGGTCCTGGACACAAAGATTTATTAAAGCCCCCAGATGACTCTAACTCATAGCCAGGGTCAAAAAACCTGCTGTAGTTTGGTGTGGGTTTCTAAGTAGCCACAGTGTGATCCTAAACATAGTCTCCTGGTTAGAGGACTAGTCATGACAAGAAATGAGTATCAATTTGAAGGAAGTATTATAGGAAAAATCTAGGAAGGGTGATTCTTCCTCAAGATATGGCTTTAGTGCAGTAACAAAATATCTCTAATCTCACAGAAGATATGAAACTGGGGTAGAGATTCAATCATCATAGATTTAATCGTTATTATTAAGAGGAGAAAGCAAGTGTGTGAGCTCAAACAAGTGAGCTCAACTAGGAATTTCCCCCTCCAAACTTGGAGGAGTTTCTTTTTAATGGTAAAAAGCTGTTAGGAGCAGTGGATAAAGCAAGTGTCATTCTTTTTTCTAGAATTGAGAAGAGTCCACAGTAAATATCCATTGTGTGTAAACAATGAGCAGGAAATGTTTATTCCACACTGGCTTTCAGAAAACAGAATTAAAATCAATACAATATTGATTTCGGTCTTTGTGAAATATACCACCAAATATTTGTATATGACTTTTAAATACCAGAGCTATTAAAACAATGGAGCACATCCTCCTTCCTTAGTGAGACAAGGGCAACTTAAGGTTACAAATGATCCCTCTTCTGATCCATTTTCCACACTGTGACAGAGCTTTATTTTATTTTATTTAGATTTTTTATTCATTTATTTGACAGAGAGAGATCACAAGCAGGCAAAGAGGCAGACAGAGAGAGAGGAGGAAGCAGACTCCCCGCCAAGCAGAGAGCCCAATGCGGAGCTCGATCTCAGGACCTGAGATCATGACCTGAGCTGAAGGCAGAGGCCTTAACCCACTGAGCCACCCACGTGCCCCGTGACAGAGCTTTCTAAAATGTAACTCTGATCCCATCACTTCTCCACAGCACACCCTCTATGGATTCTCCACTGCCTTCCCTTAAGACCTCCATGGCTCCTTCTCCAGCATTCCCTCTCCATAGCCTTCCTACCTACCAATGCCCCTGCCACATACAGCTCCCCGGACAGCCCTGCTGTGTCACACCTCTCAGCCTTTGTCTGTGCTGCTCCCTGTACTGGGATAGCCTTCTTTCATGTACCCCAGTCCTCCGAGGTCTTGAGAAACTTACATCTTTTTAAGACTCAATTCAAAAGTAACCTCCACTATGAAGCTTTTCCTGACCCATCCATAAAGAATTGACCACTCCTTTCTTTGCCTGCCCACCCCTTCTAATATGGCACCTTACACTTGATGACATTTGTCTGCTTACCTAACTTTCCCACCCGGACTCTGAGCCCTTTGGATGGCAGAGACAATATTTTATCCATTTATAAACCCAGCACTTACAAGATTGAAGGATATAAAGTAGGTTTTCAGTAAATCCACTTCATGAATTGAATTTAACTGAATGTATTGAATGACAGGATTTAACTCCATAAATTAACCTCCCTCGCCACCTCTCCCTCTCTTAACACACATATATATACACACCAGGAAGCTGGAAAGCGAAGGCTGAGAAGTAGTCAGGGTGGAAAACCTCTTGCAATAGTTCTGTGTTCAGTCAGGCTGTCTGTCTTTACTTACCATTGATGTTCTATACCCAGTGGCTGAAGGCAGAGGCAAGGGGCTATTTTCCCGGTGCAGAAGGTCCAAGCAAGAGCTATTCCGAGAACTGGAGCTTCCTGAGTCACTGTGCAACTGTCCCTTTTCAGACAGCAATCTGGACAGAAAGCTGGCCTTGCGACTGCCTGGGTGAGATCTGTCTGTCCAGACCCCACTCTTTCTCACACTGCTATCGCTGTCTCTACAGTAACTGTGCAAATCTGTGAGAGGCTCTCCTGAGGTTCGTCGATCCTGGGACTGGTCCCAGGCTCCTGTTGCATAGGATGGGCAGTGTCTAGGAGCTATCTCTGTACCTAGCCAGGAGTGGGAGTTGCCGTTTTGCCGGACACAGGAAAGGCTTGTTTGCTGTCTAGGGTGCTGAATTTGAGCGTCATCATCCCAGGGACAGGGGCTGTGGACATGGAGCTGTCCACTGTGCTGATCCTTCTCAACCCACTCTTTTTTAACACAGCAAGGGTCTACTTCAAGTTGCATGGGCTGTGAGCTTTGCCACATGGTTTTAAACTTCGGCACATTGACTCGAATGACTTGCTGTTGATTGTTGGCTTGAAGTAGAGAGATTCTTTTAGGCAAGGGAGAGCAAATTATACACTCCTGAGCCACTGAATATTTTTTCAAATGGAATGGGGTGCCACTTTCATTCTCAATGCCCTCATTGCTGGATTTCTCATAAAGTGCCCTCATAATTTTCCTGATTCCAAGATGAAATATTTCCAGTACATTGAGGAACAAAGATATGGCTGCAATGCTGTGCATAAAGAGCATGAAAATTGTCTTCTCTGTGGGCCTGGATACAAAGCAATCCACTGCATTAGGGCAAGGGGGTTGAGTGCATCTGTAAAGGGGATGCATTTGAAACCCATAGAGAATATATTGGCCTATCATGAACCCTACTTCCATCACAGATCTTGTCAAGATGTGTAAGACATAAGTACGCAGCAGACATCCTTTCAGAGGGACTTTATGGATTCTCTTCTGCTCCTCTAACCTCTTCAGCTCTCTATCTATCCTTTGTTGCTCCTCCAGTTCAAGCTCTGGATTCTCCATCTGGACTCGGAGGTGTGACTTTTTCTTCTGCCTCTCCTTCTCAAAGGCCCTGAGTCTATAAAGTGCATGGCCCATATACACCAGAGAAGGAGAAGACACAAAAATGATCTGTAAAACCCAGAACCTGATCAAAGAGATAGGGAAAGCATCATCATAACAGATATTGTTGCAACCGGGCTGCTGGGTATTGCAGGCAAATGCTGACTGTTCATCATCCCAGACATCTTCAGCAGCCACACCAAGTACCAGCATTCGGAAAATGAAGAGAATGGTCAGCCAGATTTTCCCCACTATAGTTGAGTGAGAGTGAACTTCCTCTAGGATGCCACCCAATAAATTCCAGTCCCCCATGGTATGAGACTAATGTCTGAAACATACAGAAAACACTGAAGTTAATAGCACTCATAGACATAATATACAAAGACACAGGCTCGTCAATAAACCAGGTTCTTTTTTTTTTCAGCAAAGCTATGAAGGATCTTCCAGCCCTAGTATTTATGGCCCATGCATGATGAAATAGGATACTTCCCAAGAATATGTTTTTGGAAAACAAAAAACAAAAAACAAAAAGCCAAAGACGGTGCACAACCTGATCCAATTTCCTGCCTACCCTCTCCTCTCCCACACAAGGCGGACTATCATTCCACTGTATGCAATCACCCTCACATTTGTACAATGCATTCCATCACAAATTGTGTTCATTTTTCTACCATATCAGATGCACCATTAACCAGACATCCTATATGATCTTCACTAAGTCTCACCTTCCCCAGGAAGTTTTCCCTAGCCATCCCAAGGCAGAGTGATTTTTCCCATTATTGAATGCCCACACTATTGTTTATACCACTCATTTGACATTGTGCCTAACAGGAGTTTTGTGATGGTTGTGTTTTCTGCACCTCTTTGTGGAAAGATACACTCTTTGCAGACAGAGACATATTCCACAGCATTTTGTTCTTTGCACACAGAAGGTATCATTAAATAATGGTGGGATGAATTGTCATTAATTCAGTTCCTTGACCTTATCACTGAGATAATCATCAACCAAAAAAAACCAAGTAGATCCTCATTATGTATTATACATAACTCCCATTGCAAGTAAAGAAAACAAATCAGCCAAATAAACCCTCTGGAACAGGCACAGCATAGCAGTAAAAATTAAGCAGACACAGAAACAGTAACAGACATGTGATTATATCCACAAAGCCACATCTGCAACAGCATGTTTTCATAAAAGCTTTGTTAACTTAGAAGAAAAGTGAATATAAACTGCTTCTCTAGTAAGCTTGTGATCTAGGAAAGAATCAAAGCATAGCTGACATGAATAAGTTATTTGGTTTACCCTAAAGAGAAAAAGAATGTTTTTCAAAGTTTGATGAGATTAAAATGTTTGATCGGTTAAAGACTTCTAAGATGCAGAAGATTTCCTGATATTAAAGATATATAGAGAAAAAAACAGGAAAGCATTACTAAGTTAAAACCAGTAATGAAAGAATTTTCCCCTTCCATAATTCATTCATTAAATAATATTGACTAAATCTTACTATCACCTAGGCATTGTCCTAAATGCCAGGGAATCCAACAATGAACAAGATATACTTTGTCCAGCCCTCACAATACTTAGTCAATAAGTACTCTCACTAACCTATAAAATGGACAAATAGTGAAAAAGAATAGATGAATATCAACTCATAAAAACAAGAGAGGGGAGCCTGAGTAGCTCAGTCAGTTGAGAGTCTGACTCCTGGCTTCTGCTCAGGTCATGATCTAGGGCTGTAGGGTTGTGGGATCAAGCCCCATGTCAGGCTCTGTGCTCACCCAGGAGTCTGCTGGAGATTCTCTTTCTCTCCCTCTTCCTCAACCCCTTCCCCACTCTCTCTTTCTCAAATGAATAAATAAATCTTCAAAAAAAATACAAGAGAAAAAACATAGAATCATTACATTTTCCCTAGTTATCCCTCCAGACATAAAATAAATCCCAGGTGAAATAAAGTATTAAATGTAAAAAAGTCAACCACAAAAGTATTAGAATAAAATATAACATTTTACAACTTTGAAGTACAGCAAGATTTTTTAAAGCACATCAATGCCAAAAATTGTAATTAAAAAAGGTTTTAGATTTATCCAACAAAGCTGAATGGCAAAAGTGGAAATGTCCAGAAGGCATCTGGGTCTAGAGAATAAAAACAACAATGAAAGGTACAAACTAGAGATAAACATTTAAACATTTGTGAATAATCACTGAATAGACAGAAGTCACTTAGGAACAAGACAAAGTAAGCCAATGACAGAACACTGAGAAACAGCATAGGAAAATAAGTTTACAAATAAAAATGAGAAATGACCAAAGTGGAAGAGGGGGACCATGAATACAGTGTCACTGAAAAAAAGGACAGAGTTTCAAGGAGAGACATAATGCCAAATACACGTACACAAACTCCTCTATTTATATAAATTAATTGTGGGATATATCACGCTCAGGAATTGGAAAACAGTATTTGTAAAGATGTCAATTCTCCCCCAAATTAATTGATCCATAGATTCAATGTGCGATTTTATATCAGAAAATAAAATGCTATCAATGTAAATATATATGCATGCATATGTATATGAAGTATACACATGTAACTATATGACCACAGAGAAAAAAAATACAGGGCACACACCAGGAAGTTAATATAGGTTACCGGAGGTCTATAGGAGGTTATGAACGTAGAGGGGCAAAGAGAGGCAAAAAAAGAAAGGGAAAAAGAATACTATTCAAAAGCAGGCATGAGAGATTTTTTACCTAATGCAGATATTTATGTAAATTTTAACTTGTAGGGGTGCCTGGGTGGCTCAGTCGGTTAAGCCTCTGCTTTCGGCTTAGGTCATGATCCCAGGGTCCTGGGATTGAGCCCCGCATCAGGCTCTCTGCTCAGTGGGGAGTCTGCTTCTCCCTCTGCCTCTCCATCCCTGATCTCTCTTGCTCTTACTGTCTCTCAAGTAAATAAAATCTTTTAAAAAATGTTTTTTAAAAGATTTTATTTATTTATTTGACAGACGGAGATCACAAGTAGGCAGACAAGCAGGCAGAGAGAGAGAAGGAAGCAGGCTCCCTGCCAAGCAGAGAGCCTGATGCGGGGCTCGATCCCAAGACCCTGAGATCATGACCTGAGCCAAAGGCAGAGGCTTTAACCCACTGAGCCACCCAGGCGCCCCCCAAAAATGTTCTTTTAAAAAAATTGTTTTACTTGTATATGCATACATATTCATACATAATTTTTTAAAATAAAATTTAAATAGTAGGTATCTCAGAATTTGGGAGGGGTGTTAATGAGACTTTTATATTTTATTCTATGTACTTGAAAATTGCTTGAAATTCAAAAATTAGGAATGTAGTCACATGTAGTACTTGCAAATATAAAAACAGATATTAAAATTTTGGACTTATTCTTCATTAACTGAGGCAATAATTTATTAAGTTTTACCGTCTCAAAGAGTTTAGGTCTTTCTTATTCCTTTACAAATTTCTGGACATTATTCTTTATTAAAAAAATAATTTCTTTCGGGCACCTGGGTGGCTCAGTCGATTAAGTGACTATCTTCGGCTCAGGTCATAATCCTGGAGTCCTGGGATCGAGTCCCACATTAGGCTCCCAGCTCCGCAGGAAGTCTGCTTCTCCTTCTGACCTTCCGCACTCTCTTACTTGCTCGCTCTCTCAAATAAATAAAATCTTTAAAAATAATAATTCCTTTAGCACTTACAAAAAAATCTAGACCTTCTATTTTATATAAAAACCCTGCAATGAGGGACACCTGGGTGGCTCAGTTGGTTGGACGACTGTCTTCGGCTCAGGTCATGATCCCGGGATCCGGGGATCGAGTCCCACATCGGGCTCCCAGCTCCATGGGGAGTCTGCTTCTCCCTCTGACCTTCTCCTCGCTCATGCTCTCTCTCACTCTCTCTCAAATAAATAAATAAAATCTAAAAAAAAAAAAAAACCCTGCAATGAGAAAGCTTACTCATTTCATTAACTTATTCTCTACTTGGAAGTCCTAAACCATTTAATGCTTCTTATTGCCACTATCGATTTAAAACCTGATAATTATTACCTTTAAATAGGAAGTAAAGGAAAACTAGGCCAACATGAAACACAGAACTACAATCATGCATATTGGCATGCAAGAGCAAAATCCTTAAACATTCCCATGTTTCTTAAAAGTAACTACTTTTTACCAATAACAACTACAGGTCCTAGAAATATTCTTGAATTCCGTTATCAAATACTAATTTAGCAACTCCCATGTAAAAACTGGGGCTCCTTTCCTGAATTTTATTTCAGATCTTATCCTTCTATACCCATAGGGATTTCCTCTATTTCTCATAAAGAAGAAAGTCCACATATTTATGACTTACCTTATGGGTTGTCAAAAAAAAATAGTTAACAATCGGGCTCAAAGAACCTTAAAGTTGGACCATGAGTGGCTAATTAGAGAACAATTGCTGCTGGTTGCAGATATAAAGGCTCTGATCAGCTCTGATTCTGGGGCAAAATCCAGAATGAGCACAGTAATTTTGATCAATAGAGTCTAACCTACTTCTCCTTGGAGGTCAAAATATCCTTTGCGGCTTTGCAATTCTCTCGTAGTATTTTTTTCTAACTGATACCATGACTGAGCCTCTCCTGGTATATCATATTTAGAAATGAAAAGTGAAATAAATGAGAATTTTCCTTTTTTATTTGTGGATGATTACAGTGATTTGAATTTGGGGTACACTTCTTCCAACTGATTGCTCTGGGAATCCATGTCACAGATCAATGGGTCATGTCCAATTTCATTTGACAGCTGCCTGGGGTGAATCTTGCCTCATCAAATGTGAACAAGTAACAATGGAGTGACAAACCCAAAGTGTTCTTGCTTGTTAGGCTGAAAGTAGAAACATCCCAAAAAAAGATCAATAGACTGAGAGGGGGCTGCACATGTCTATAAATTAATTGTTCTAGCAATACTCTATTAGGCTGAAACAGGCAGCTCGGAAATTTTCAGTAGGTAATCTGAAAGCCTTAGAAAGCTATGTCAGATTTTTTTTTAATATTTTATTTATTTATTTGACATAGAGAGAGAAGCAAGAGCGAGCACAGGCAGACAGAGTGGCAGGTAGAGGCAGAGGGAGAAGCAGGCTCCCTGCCAAGCAAGGAGCCCAATGTGGGACTCGATCCCAGGATGCTGGGATCATGACCTGAGCCGAAGGCAGCCGCTTAACCAACTGAGCCACCCAGGCGTCCCGCTATGTCAGATTTTTGTGGAGAAAGTATCTGAATTCCAGAAAGGTCAAATGACTTGCCCAATGCAGACAGAGACTAGGTCTCCTAACTCCCAGTC